TCGCTCACGCAGGTAAAACTTATATTGATGTTTTTGTCTGCATGTCTGTGTGTTTGTGTGCGAAAATCTTAAAAACGGTTCAACCGATTTGAATGATTTTATCACTAATCTATAGTGGTATACTTCATTTAACATGTACAGCCTTACAAATAAACGCGGTTTATATTTAAATTTAGGAATCAACAAAGTATAAGCAAATATTAGTACAAATTTTAGTTTTTGTTTTATTTAAATCTGTGAATAATAAAAGTTATGTCAAACTCGCTTCTGCCTGCGAATTCACGTGTATTAAAAAATACAAGTCTGTATGTATTTCCAGATTACGTTGTAAAATTGTGATATTTTATCGTGTAGCCGTTTTGGATATGTAACATCCATACATCCATCCAAACTTTCACATCTATAAAATTATTATTATAAAGAGGAAAGATTTGTATTATTGTATGTATTGAAATAACTCAAAAACTACTGGCTCGATTTCAATAATTCTGTCACCATTAATAAGCTATGTTATGTGTGAGTAACATAGGCTATCTTTTTTATTATTTATTTAATTTCACGCGGGTGAAGTCGCGAGCAACAGCTAGTCTATAATATTAATTATGAAACGAAAAGTGCGAAATATTTAGTTACCAATGTAAAAGCATGCAAAATGAGTGTTTTTCGAAGTAAATTATTGGAATGTGGACGTTGTGTGCAGAGTTGTCGGAGGTGCTGTGGGACATGGTGCTGGCGTTCGGGCTGCGCGACCCCACGTACGTGGGCGGCATCAAGCTGTACGTCGCCTTCTGCTTCTGGGCGCTCTTCACCCTCGCCATCCTCGTCATGATGGAGGGCCTCTCCGCCTTCCTGCACACCCTGCGTCTGCACTGGTATGCACATATTAACTATAAAAGCAAAATGTATTTTATTACTTTTAAACCCCTTATTTATTAAATTATGGTTATGGAAAATTATTCTAATCTGATATTGAAAAACCTTAATAATTACCTTTTTCCGAAAGAAATATTAAAAACAGTAGAACCTCGATAACTTAAAAACCTCTATAACTTCAAAAAATAATATGTTCCTTTCCCATCCGAGCTTAAAACCTCTATAACATAGACCCTTGATAACTTAAAACCTCTATAACTTAAAATATTTTGTGTTTCCCTTGGACTTTAACTTATCGAGGTTCTATTATACTATGTTTGCCATAATAATTGATTGATACTAAGATTGCATTTTCCAGGGTGGAGTTCATGAGCAAGTTCTACTCCGGTCTCGGCTACATCTTCCAGCCTTTCTGCTTCAAGACGATCCTCGAAAATGATGACGAGGAATAGATTAAAATAAACGTATCAGTAGTAAGAATAGTTCGCGGAAATATTTATAGCGTGTTCATACACTCAGTTCTAACTGACAGTTCAACTGTTCAGTTAAAACTGAGTTTTAGTATCCGCGAAGATTGTTGTCACAAGTTATTGTGTGAATGAAATATATTTAGCATACTTTATGTGTTTGTTTTATTTTTAAAGAACGATAACACACAGAAATGTGCTTAATAAGTTATACAAAAATAATCAAGAAGTCAAGGAATAAATGAAACAAGTTTTTTTTCTTAAAGTTTATTAGCAATTGTTCACATAATATACAAATATTTCAATCGTAACACAAAAAGTTTTCAACAGTGTACCATTTTCAATTTTAAATTGATTTAAAGGAAATTCAAATGCATATTCGGAAAACAACCAAATATGACTTGATTTTTTTATCTTTTTCGGTTTAACTGCACATTGCAGATAAAATTATATTATATGCAGCGTTGCAATGCCTCCAAGCAGTTATTTGAAGTGGAGTATTTGTCTATAATAGAGCGTCGGTGGCTCAGTGGTTTAAGCACTTGACTTGTAATCTACAGGTTCAAATTCCGCCATGTACCAATGTGATTTTCGATTTTTTTCGAATTATCATATGTACATAATTTACCCGACGTTCTAACGGTGAAGGAAAACATAGTGATGCAACCTGCACATATCGGTGAAGAAATTCAAAGATATGTGTGAAGTCAACCCGCAGTGGGCCAGCGTGGTTGACTATGGCCTAGTCACCCTTACTTTAGAGGCTCCGAGCCCCTCGGTGGGGACGTATAGTGAGCTGTTGATGATGATTAGTCTATGTGCGTAAATTAGCTCTCGCTTTGTCCATGATTTCCTTCTTTATCTTGGGGTAGTCGTGGTGCAGCTGCAGCAGGAGGCGGCAGACGGCGAGGCAGTCGGGGAAGCGGCGCAGCTTGAGGAGCGCATGCGCCAGCTTGTAGCCGAGCGCGAGCTCAGCGCGCCCGGTGTGCGTCCACGCGTTCTCGTAATTATGAGCTGCGCTCTTATAATTCTGCTCCTTTTCAGCTAACATACCTAATAAAAATATTTATTGTAGAAAGTCACATGAAATAAATACGTTTGTTGTAAAAAAAAACTTTATTAGCTATTACTATCATATTAATATTATAAATGCGAAAGTTTAAATGGATGGATGTTCGTTAGAGTTTGTAGCCTAAACGGCTGAACGGGTTTCGATGAAACATAGCATAGATGTAGAGGATAGTCTGGAAGAACACACAGGTTACTTACTTTTGTTTGTTTTTTAATTTCACGTGGACGTAGTTGCGAGCGAAAGCTAGTCTACTATATTGTCTACTATGTTAAATAATATACGGCCAAATACTGAAACCAATCTTAGATACTTTGCTTCTAAATCGGCGTCAAAATCATTTAAAAGCTGTTACATATTTAAATAATAAATAAATAAATAATTTAACATTTCATACTTTATCCATTATTCAAAAAACTTAACATTAAATAACTTCAAAAGTAATGCGCTAAATTATTAATTTCTTGTGAAGTTAGACGTACCTAAATATTGGTAAGCGGCGGCGCAAGAGTTATTGTGGTTCAAGACTTTGGTGAGAAGTTCCTTAGCGGCGTCCAGTCGGCCGGCGTTGACCTGGCCCTCCGCCACTTCTAACCAACATCTAAACATCAACAAAACAATAAACATTAGTTATACTTAGAGAAAACTTAACTATTGCACGTCATAATACAATTACATTATTTTTTTATACTTTATTACTATAAAAACATCTATAAAGATTTTTTTAATGTAATATGGTTTAGTAGCGAAATTTAATAATTTAAAAGTGTATTTCTCTAAATCCCTGCGAAATTCTAAAAACGCAACGCTATTGGGCAAAGCAAACTATTGGGAGGTTTAATTACTTGACTTTTGAGACCTCTGAGAACCAATCAATTACATTGTTGTTGTTTGATGACGTCACAACACTCGTCCGCGTTTTTTTAGTTCAATAGTTGTTTTTTTTTCATGGAATTTTTCTGGTTATCTTATAGCATGTAGAAATGTTTAAAAAATGAAAAAAACGTGCATATTCCCTATACCTTTCTAATCCATCAGCATTCTCCGGAGTCCATGGTATGGAAGATATAGTCCGTTTTAAAATATTCTTTGCACGAGTTGGTTGTTTCAGAATATTGTAACTGTAACATATTTAATTATCATTTTATATTTATAACCTAAATAATTTAATACGATCTGTCAAATAATGTGATCAGTGTACCACTAGAAAAACAAAAAAACTGGATATAGAAAAATCATAACTAGCTTTCGTCCGTGACTCCGTCAGCGTGGAATTACAAGAAAACAAAGCAAGTTGCCAAGGTCTTCCAGGCTATCCTCTATATCTACGTCAAATTTCATCGAGGTCAGTTCAGCCGTTAAGACTACAAAGTAACAAACATCCATTTATTTCAACTAGCATTCATAATATTAATAAGATTATCGTTGCGATCCAGCCTATCTATACTTAATATTATACAGAGAAAAGATTTGTATTCTTGTATGTATTGAAAAAACTATTGGACCGATTTAAAAAGTTTCACCATTAAAAAGCTGCGTTATCGCTGAGTAACATAGAACATATTTTTATTATTTATAATTTCACGTGGACAAAGTCGAGAGCCACAGCTAGTTGAACTATAATTAAAGCAAATAAATATGAAATTATTAAGCTTACGCATTAGCAATGGCCAGTATCAAGTATGGGTCATCTTGGTACGCGTCTTCCGTGGCCAATGGCAGCAGATCTTGCAGCACCTTCTCAGCTTGCGGCTTCTGCTTGTTAGCGAGCAACAGCAGCGCTTGCAGCGACCTCCGCTCTATTGGATCTACCTCCGACAGAAGCTTCTCTGCTGTCTTCAGAGCTAATAGTCTCGTTTCCCTGTGTCACAATCAATACCATAGACTATGAATGTCGCCAGAGGGACAGACTCAAATATGTAAAAAAAATATGCGTAAGACCAAAAAGAGATAATGGTAAGTGCTCTTCCAAATCTAGCCTAGATCATAGGCTGACTACGGCGGAAAAGACTTAACCATAGACAGACTGTAGGTACACGATAAAACTATACAAAGATTACTTGTGAAACATTTTTACTGACATAACACTAACAAACATAACTTTTCCTAATATATAATTTCACTTAACATTATATCTAAAAGATGCCTCAATGGCCGCCATATTTAAATTTTACCTTCATCTGTCCTATTAGTTTGAAATCAATATACAATCTTTTGAAGTCTCTCGTTTTATCAATTGATCAGTTAAAGTACATTAAAATCATGTAAATAAAGGTAGATATGAATATGAATAGTAAGTTACGAGTGTTGTGCGGTGTCCGGGGCGTGGTGCGCGAGGCAGAGCAGGGCCATGCGGCGCGCGGCGCTGCGGCCCCAGCGCGAGCGCGAGCGGCGCGCCGCGTGCAGCCGCCGCAGCGCCGCGCTCGTCTGCGCGCCGCACGCCGCCCACACGCCGCTGCAGTACTGGTAGCCTGACACCACACACATCCTACATTGCCAATGCTACCTTAACTACCTGCACCCGTGCGGCTTCATCCCAATCAAACTCATCCTCATTTTCCTATCCCCTTAGTGGCGCAATAGATTTAATCTTACTAATATTATAAATGCAAAAGCTTAGATGGATGGACGTTTGTTAGAGTTTGTAGCCTAAACGGTTGAACGGATCTCGATGAAATTTGGCATACATGTAGAGGATAGTCTGGAAGAACACATACGCTATTTAGTTTCATTTTTTTAACTCCACGCGGACCGAGTCGCGGTCAAAGTTAGTCCTGTAATAACTCTATCATATGTCATCTCAGTCACAATGTTACCTTTCATCCGATTGGAATTATAAAAACTTTATTTTAATGTTTACATTTGTAAAATTCTCAATAGCAAATGTTAAAACTCAAATGTATAACGACAACGAAGGACTGGTAATTAAAAAGATTTCCGTTACCATGGGAACCATGTTTCCTTGATGTTGTCAGCTTGTAGTTTTTATCGCTTTCTCGCACGACGGATTTTTTTTTCAAATTTTACACTCCCTTAGTATAATAGCGTGAAAATATATCCTACGGCGTGTTATAAGTGTAGTTTTTTTTTTATTAATTAAAAAATAAACTGTGATTACAGACATAATCCGTTACTATGTAATGTGTTTACCCTTTATAATATTAGTATACATTTAAAATGTATATCCATGATTTTTTAGACACCGACCGTATTATATATAGTATATATAATTCAAGTATGTAGCAGTAATGAAACCTGGATCATCAGGATTCTGCATGGCGTTTTTAGCGTTGTCGAGTGCCTGTTCAGCATCAGCGAGCTTGCCGCGCCGCCACTGCACCTCGATGAGCTGCGCCAGCGCCGCCCAGCTGCACGGCCGCACCGACAGGATCTGGGTCAGGTGCCTCTGCGCCGTCTCGAAGTCAACCTAAACCATACACGTTAACCCATCAATAGATGGCGCTGGCGGCGAATTAGAACACGGTGATGAGAGACGTATTTTCGTTTTTTTTATTTACTACCTTACGAAATGCTAAATCCGCCATCATGACAGCCGCTGCTTCATTATTCGGGTCTGTATTGAGTAAGAGGGTACACGTTTGCTCGCATTTCTCTGGATTGTTCATCTAAAATAAAGTATCAATTAACCACATACAGAAATCATAGTAATGTTATAAATCATACTACATTCTAATATTATAAGTGCGAAAGATTAGATGGATGTTTGTTGAAGTTTGTAGCCTTAGTGGATAGTCTGGAAAAACACTTAGGCTACTCACTTTTGTTTTTTTTAATTCCATGAGAACGGTGTCTCGGGTACGCCAGGGAAAACTAGTGGTTTAATAAAGATTACAATGTTCTATTTGTTTTGTGTTTAAACTCGGTATTTTATAAATAATTATTACTTACTTGAGCGTACAGTTTAGCCAATGCTAGTAAAGTATTTGGATCCCTCGGTGAATGTATTAGTGCTTCAGAATATAAACTGGCAGCCACTCCTGGCTCCTTCAATGACTTTGCTTTCGCCAGCATACAGAGAACATCAGTTAACTTCTGCCTCTCTTCTTGTATGTCACCTCTGGAATCTATTTCTACTCTCTTTACAATCGCCATTTGTAAATCTTTTGCTTCACTGAGTATCAGATTAGTGTTGCCACTACTAGGATTTTTTAAATCCCGACATTTCGCTTGTATTAAAAGGAGACGTATACGCCTTTTGAGTGTTGCAATATCTTTGTCTTTATTGTACAGTTGATTTAAATCATTTGTAATAGTTGAATCGACTTTGTCATATTGTTTTAACTGCGAAAAATAATTGGTAATATTTACATTAATACGTTACGAAGTTTAGAGACATTTGTCTATTTTTTTTTACCTTGACTAGAAGTTCTAAATATTCAAATTTTATTTCATCGTCATTGAGAAGATTGATGGCATTTTCGTAATGTTGTATTGCTTTATCATAATCGTGCATCTTTACTAGAGCTGTTCCTAGTTTTTTTATTAGTTGCATATCCTTGGGGTTTCCTTTTAACGCCATTTCATAAGAATCCGCTGCTTGTATAGGTTCTAAAAATTACATACAATAATATATTTTTAAGCATATTAGCTGCTTAAGAAAAGAACGAAATGACATAGACAAAAATATAAACTACATGGAAATAACCTTACAATACCTGTAAGAATAAATCTACATAAGTAACTAAAAACTGTTTGGTTTTCAATAAACAAGTCCACCTGTTAAGTATTTCCTTTGAATTAAAAATAAATAGCTGTTCCCGTGCGACTTCATCCGCATAAAATTATGAAAGTTTATTCTATTGTTTACATGTGTCAAATTATTAATTGCAAATGTCAAAATGACATGACATGACAAACCTTGCTTCCTTGATGTTGGCAGCAACTTATGGTCTCTTTCCCACATTAGGGTTTTTATCCAAAATATTTACCCAATAAGTTTAATGGCATAAAAATATATAGTCTAAAGCGTGACGTAAGTGTAGGGCTTTTTATTAAAAAAATATATATTCAAGAATATGCTGTAATTGCTGACATCTTAGGCAACAAAGAAGTGTGTATTTACACTTTATTATATTAGTATAGATACTACTAGCCCCTTCTCAATGCGCCTAGCCTAGTTCATCGTCTAGCGGTCTTGAAAGGTGATGTAGTCAAGAAACTGTGATGAGGGAAGACAGTCCCTTTGTTACTGAGTTAAAGTCGGTTAGATGATGAAGTTAAATTCATACAAACCTAATATAGACATATATGCATCTCCCATCATCGTATGAGCATCCGCCATAGGATGATTGTTCACAATCTCTTTGAAACAAGAAGTAAATTTAGCTCTATCCTCCTTATCTTTCAAGTAAATATGAGCCATTTTACTATGAGCTTGGAAATAATACGGCTGGCCAGGTTTTACTTCATTTAGAATATCAATAGCGTTGTCAACATCGCCTTTCTTAAGTGCTAATTCCGCACGAGCGATAAGTAAACGACCTTCTTCTGATGTGTATGATATTTCTTGTATTGCATCCTATAATACAAAAATAATTATGTAACACAAAATCACATTAATAGGAAATTAATTAGTACAAGCTAAATAGGAAAATAAACTAGTAGTACATGTAAATTAAACATTAAGGGCCTATCCTACAACTGGCTGATAGAAGCTCAGATAGCTTAAAAGTGATGTCACTGTCAGATAGAGTATCAAAATTCAATTTCCATCATACATTTTATACCTTTGGATTGTTATCTGACAATTTACAAGAATTGTGGGACAAGTCGTTATACTTATACACATTAAAGTCAAATTGATGTAAAAAATAACAACATACTTGCATTATCTTCTCTGCTTCACCAAACTGATTTAATTCCATTTGAGTTTCGATTATTTGCAAATAAAGTGACGCTTTATCTATTGTATTCAAATCCCATTCAAAGGAACGGTTCAGATTTGTGACAGAATTTTTACTCGTTAATATTTGGAGACTGGTTGTATAACTTGATAGTGCATCTTGAAGTTGGTTGACATTCTTTAATATAATACCATTGAGAAAATGATACATAGCACTGTCCCGCACTTTAAAGTTATAACTTAGACACATTTCAAGACATTGTGCTGCTTTTGTATACAACTGCTGTTGAGTATAAATCTGGGATAATAATACTTGGCTCCCAGCATGAGTATTATCCAAATCAATGATCTGTTGTGTTAACTTTTGAGCATCTTGTGAATATCCAAATAAAAATTTCAATTTTGCTAATTCAAATAAAGCCACAATCAAACCGGGACATGCCTTAGTAATAGTTTCCAATATCTTAAAACAATTATTCACTGATACATTGTTACCTTCTTGTGTGTACAATAAGTAACTGATTATCACAAATGGTTTCTTAGGTAAATGATTTTTATATTCCTTGTATACTTCAAGCAAAAAATCAGGGTCCAATTTTTTAATGTATACCAAACTTAAAGGATGACGATCAGCAATTAACAATTGTGTAGAAAATGCTTCCTTAAGAAATGTTACCGCATTAGAACTTTTCTTGTTTAATTGTGCTGATAGTAAATATAGAATTGGAAATTTCTCATTAGCTTGCATTTCAAATAACAATTCCACTTGTTGGGCAATTTGGTCAGTCGGACCATTCTCAAACATTTGACAAAGAGTTAAACCACACAATGCGGTTATTGAGTTACTATCTATTTTGCTTGCAGCTTTAAAAAAGTTTTGTGAATCCTTATATTTGCCTTGAAGTATACATTGGTAACCAACTTCACTTAAATAATTGACATCATTTGTATACATTTCTGACGCATATTGTGCGAATCTATAAACTTGTGAAAGTACAGCACTAGATCTGCCACAAATTCTAGAAAATATCTGTGCTGTATTATAAAACTGGTAGCCATTATGGGGCTCTTCTATTTCTAAAATAGTAAATAACCTATTCAATTGATCCACCGCTTCTATATAATCTGAATTTTTACATAATTCTATAAAAATCCTTATCTTAAAAGTATCAATGTTATCTGGTTCTTGGTGAAATATTCTTTCCATTGTGTCATATACTGCTTCCCACTTTTGCATTGCAAATTCATTTTTCAATTTCTCCATTAATGGAACTACTTGACCGGGGCTACTTACTATAAGTCTGTCTAATGTCAAATTAGATGCATCATGATCTTTAGTAAAATATTTAAATTTTGCCATTCCAAGTAATGCTTCAATGTTTTTATCACTTTTAGTTAAAGCTAATTCAAACCCATCTAGTATGGAAGTGGGTAGTTTACCAATATTCATGTACATATCATTCCAGGCTTTTAAAATTATTGTATCAGAATTATTAGGATCTTTTCTTAACGATTTATTAATATAATCTGATGCTTTTTCATATTTCTCAGCAAAAGATAAGAATAATCCAGCATAATAAAGTGAAATTGCAGTGCCTTGTTTTCTTTCTTCTTTTAATTTTGATTCTAAATTGTAAAGATCATCGCTTTCTGTATTCTTAATATGATTGTAGCCATAAATTATTGCAATTATAGTGGCCAGTTGTAAATTTTTGTCAGATTGTATTGGTGTGAGTTCATTTATTCCTTTTTGAGCTTGGCCTTCTAACACATATGTAACTGCATTGTAAAATATAAATTCTGTTGAATCATTAAACTGTGATAAAGCTTTCTTACTGATTTTTCTAACTTTTCCATAATATTTTTCTCTTAAATAATAGTGGATATTGCTATGATACCAAATAAGATCCATAGTTGTATAGAAAACAATTACTCTAAATCCATAATAACATTCAAATCTTTGTATTTACTTATATTATCATTATAATATTTAGCAAGAAAATGACATTTGCATGTCACATTCAATTTATTCTCCAAAGCATAATCAAATGCATACTGGAACAAAAAAATAATAGTTTTATTTCAAAGTTACATAGACTATCAAGTTATTAGAACTAAACTAAACTCAATGATTATAGCACCCGTTTTTACCTCTCTCTCTCTCTCTCTCTTACTTGACTAAATATCCCTATTTAACTTTATATAATGTAAAGACTTTAAAATATAAGTTAATATTGCTAAATATAAATTTGATACATGAGATTGAAAAAACAGACCTTTCCTAGTAATTTTCCAACTCCTTTTCCTTGAAATTGTTTCGGTACGTTTGTATAGATAAAAGTTATATTTTTGCCACTCCTTTTATAATCTAGAGTGGCTTCTGCTGTTGAAAAGTTATATAAGTTTTAAATATATATACCATATAATGCAAGATTACAATGAAATAAGAAATCGATTACTTACCGCCTTGTAAAGACACTACAAACTGTTGCTTAGCAACATTGTTGACAACCTTTAAGGCTTCCGTGGAAAAAGATCTAAGACTGAGACGGGTTAACATTCCAATTTCCCAATGGAACTTCTGTAATAAGAGTTAATCAGAGAAAATATTTAGTTTATTTTATTTCTACAACATACAAATTGCAATTTGTATACAAAAACTTTTTAATGTCAATGTCATTGATTGTCACTGTCACGAATTATGTCAAATATAGAATCTACTTATTTCAATAAATACAATAATTTGCGTTTTACTAAAGATACTTTCTTTTAGTATAAAATAATGTTACTTATATTTAAATAACAAACACGGTCGAATAAAGAGGCGTCAGTACCAGTTCCTTTCCCCTTTCCTTGCCGTACATTCCGATCAAATTCATTACTCCGTCTTATTTATTTTTCTTTAGCCAGGCCAGGCTAGGAAAAGCCTAGCTACCAACACTTGAAACCATAATGATGATAAGATCTTTCCTTTCTATATTGTTCACTCTTTATTAGGACGTTAACTTAATGAACATTTATTGGGGTTCGAAGGATGTTAATCTTCATCCAGCGTGTTTGTTAGATTTATTGTTATTTAATGACATTTTACAAAAACACAATTTAGAATCATACACAAGTATAACCCCGCAAAAACTATATATTTGGTTTGTTCCCTGGTGCGATGTTCATATGTGATGTATGTATGTAAAATATGTATCCAGAATGTATTTCAGAGAGAAGAATGATTAGAACGAAACTTAATCTCTTGAGTAATTATTTATAAGTACCTATATCATTAAAATTAGCCATTAGTACGCTATACACTATTAGCGTCGAGATTTCCACATTTGGAAATGGATCTTTAAAAGACGTGAGTTGCATTCAACGGCATTTTATATGTATTAATGAAACGCGTATCTAAATTAATAAAATCGAGAATATATGCATCTATATTGTATTTAAAGCTTAATTTAACTTTAATTTACATTACATTTTACATACATTTACATTTTACATTAATATTGAAATGCTATAAATAAAAAAGCACTTTTGAAATGACTCATTGGCAACGGTCGCTGACCTTGACTGGTAAGGCTTGAAGAGCGCGATTAATCGATTGAATAATCTAAGCTTTGTTGTTTGACATAGTCTGCTTTAAACTATAAAAACAAACAGGTCTCGCATCATTTGTGGTTAAATTTATAAATTTTAAGGTTATGTTGGTTGGTGGATCAAGGATTCAGAAAAATTTTTTTTTTAAGAAAAGTAAGTGGAAATATCAATTGTTCCTGGTCTATCCGTCAAAATAGAATATTGGTGTAACCGGTCTGAATATTTTTTGATTTGGACGATGATTCCTTCCTTTTTATTCTTTTTCCATGTTGATTTATAAAATATATTTGTTGTAAGCAACTGTGAACATGCTATGAATATTTAATAATTTGGGAGTGAGATAAAAACACACCGTTAAAAAGTCTTGAAAAAACAACTGTTACAAGGTATGTGATGGGAATAATAAATATATGACTCCATGGGTTAATTGTTTAACATTTCTTCATTCTGTAATTTCATTTATTGCGAAAGCTTCGATAGATTATTTAATGAATTTTGTGTAAATACAACTTAAAGGATAGTATCTCTAATAAGGATAGTAACTCCTCGTACCCTGTATGTCCAACCAAGGACAAGGACTCACCCCAGGTATGAATCCCAACGGCTTCGCGAGCTGACGTAAGCGTGGCCGGTGCATGTGAATGGGGCAAGGGATAGGGTTGTCAACTTGCATAAATGTGGATCTGAAGAAGAACCCCGTAAAAAAGACGACCAACGATCCGTTTTCCGTTGACTCCTTAGCGAATAAGGAATAATACGATGTCCACCCTTATTACGACGGAATGGATACGACATCCAGTACCTACTATTACATTGCCTACTTTGATCTGAAGATATAGAAGTCAAATACAAAAGAAGGATTGGTAGTTTTTTTTATCGGGGTAGGAGGGAAATATTCTTCCTATCTCTTAGAGAATGAATAAGACAGAAGGGTTCTTCGAGATTTCCATTCACTAAAACAACTTAGGTGGCTTTAAGTGCAAAACACTTGGTCCTTCCGTACAGTGGCACAGCCCTAGGTATCAGTAAACAGCTGGCAGAGTGGACGTGCGCAGGCGCTCGCGCATGCCAGTCGCATTTTAGGCGCAGTGCGCGCTTCGCGCCTTTTTTATCTGTGATTAGTGATTTTGACGTTACAATGAAATAAACATAAACATAATGTTTTGTAAATATTAGTCGTAATTACTAACAAAAGTGTTTTTGTTTTTTAATTCACATATTACGTGTAACTTAATAATGCTATTTGGTTGTAAACAAATTAATTTATTTGATTAGATACGAAATAGGAAATTAATAAATTTAAATTAAAGGTGGGTAAAATAATATACAAAGTCTTAATGTTAGACTGAATAAATATTGTAGATTAAAAATGTTGTGATGTATGTAAACTATTTACAAAGTAAACTTTCTTTACATGTTCGTTATAAAGAAATCCCATGAAACAACAAAGAAAATAACAGAAATAAAGCATTGCGTAACATTCTATCCACTTAGGATTCCATCACTTTTTTTACTTTTTGTAATTCAAGTTGGAGCGAGTGTAGGCGGCAATTTAAATTTATATTTCGAACGGTGATGCCATTACGTTGATACCATTCAAAATTTGAATTTTATGTTTGTAGTAAGTGTTGTTACAAGTGTAAAGTGTAAGAAACATATGTGATATTGTTTGTTTGGTGCAAGTGGGGGGCGGGCTTATGGGGCAATGTGTATCCCGGGACCATCCGGGCGCTTACGCCTTCTCCCGACACTATGATGCTGAAAGCTTGGCCAGCAGTGTAAGCGGATATGTTAGAAAAGTAAGTAAAACAAATAATTTAATAGATTTTATACGTACGTAAGTACTGATAAGTATTCCAATTCGATATTCACACGTACCGTTTATACTCGAAGCGGAAACGTCTGATAATAAAAAGAGCGTTATAAAGCTCGGTATGTTTTGTCCTATCTAGAGAAAAGTAGGGACGGAAGAAGGTAATTGAAGCTTTGAGCTCCGAGACAAAACAGCATCCTGTTCTCGATTATACTCGTACTGACGGTAGCTGGCAGGTTATAAATGGCATTTTGATTTACACATACCCACATGCTCACAGATCAAATAAAGACCACAGATTATAAACCATCACAATCAAATTGTTTTTTTAAGTCGATTTAAAGAGGAATACAATGCAAAATATTTTTAATACATTTTAAAAAATTACGTAGAACAAATTGTTATAAAAATCTAGTAGTAATTTTTATGATGTGATCAATGAGTAATCTTATGTACTTGTTTATGTAGATAAACAATAGATAAAGGTATATTAACTTCCTATTGGCACGTCATAAATTAATTCATCCATTATATGTATGAGTCATTGAATTATTCAAACGCTGCTTGAATATTTTGAACGTTTTTGGACTATGATTGTAACCGCGATTGCATCCAACTACGTAACGGAACGGACAATAAATTATCTATTCTTTAAATGCCAAGGTTACCGAGACTTTGTCTTCAATGTCTAACGGGTGTCAATAAGAGGCACGTTTACATTGCGTTGATATTGTTGCTATTAAGCAATGACTCCATTTTCTAGATTTAATTGCTACATTTTATCTATAGATCCTTGTTTTTCTAGTATGACACTAGTTACAATAAAATAGAAACGAAATTGTGGTATTGCTTTTTGTTGGTTATGCCCACCTTTTTGGGTCACGGGCGTAAGTGCTTCTTTCTTAACTTAGTTTTTTTATAGTTCAATAATGTCCATAATTTATGACATAGGCTAGAAATGTGAAAGTGAATGTTTTTTCTAAAACTAGCTAATACCGTTTTAGAAAAATATGGATTAACACTCCTTTATGAAAGATTGTTTACGATCGAATCGATTTACAAAGTTAATCGATTTCTTCAAATCGATCAATTCGTGTTGAACGAAGAAAGCCTTTGTAGTTTTCAATTGATTGTTCCATTTGATATTCTCGGTCATTTACAATAGGGCTATTTACGATTTACTTGAGTTACAAATATCTTGACAGAATAAGATACATAACCGTTCTTTCATCGATTAAGGTTTTTAAAAAAGACTAGCAAATTCGTTAAGTGCACTAAAACAAAGGAGCACAACTTCAGGCAGACCACTACATAACATAGAACAGGCAGAGGAAATCATATGAGATTTTCTCTGCCCACTGCTAGACTTAGGTCTTCTTCAATGCTTTTACAGAATGCGATCCTCCTTCCGCATCCTACGTCTTCCTGTCGTTCGTAGACAGAGCGAAGACAGGCTTAAAGTGGTAGCATTTCCAGGTTTAATTTGTTGGGATTTTTCCAGAGACCTTCCCACCGCTTTTTAAAAAGAAAAATATGGGAAGAGACACCCGATGAGGATGGGGAGTTTAATTTAGAGTAACTTCGAAACCTTGAAGACCTGTAATCGTGTAATTACAACAGTCTCAGTCACCAGACTATAGCGTTACATGATAATTACGTTTTCACCATCGCTCGCGATTCACCGAGACTTTCCAACTCGCTGCCCACCCTAATAGTACCTCCTCGTTAATTAATAACTTAATAGTGTCTGTCGAGTTTCTATACGTTGATATATGTTGTTTATCTTTGCTTATCAAAACTTTATCACCTTCGCATGTCTTTTGTAGTAAGAAAATTATAGATGCACCAAGATTTTTAGTATGTTAATTTATTATTGACTTATGCTTAGATCTCTTTCTGTAATTACCTTAGTCATCAATATAACCCCTATCTAGATTGCGGTGACATATTTTATCAATTTAAATTAGTTTAAAATACTTATATTTTATTATATCACTAGCTGTTCCTGCAGCTTAATCGGCATGAAATTGTAATCCTTTTTTTTTATTTATGTACATGTCAAATGTCAAAATTCAAATGCATAAATGACAACCTTGCTTCCTTGATGTTGGCAGCTTGTTGTTTATGGTCTCTTTCCCACATGTTTTTTCCAATTTATTTACCTCCTAAGTTTAATAGCGTGAAAATATATAACCTAAAGCGCGTTATAAGTGTAAGGCTTTATCACAAAAAAATGATCATTCAAAACTATGCTTTGATTGCTGACATCCTTCTCCACAAAATAGTGTGTGTCTACGCTTTATTATATTAGTATAGATATCATCGTTTTATTGAAGTTACGTATATCTAATCTCTATTTTATTCAATTATTAGGATTTACGGATTGTTATCGAAAAATAAATTTATTCATTCGTTCACCGTAATATTTAGGAAGTCGATAACTTGATATAATCCTGTTCTGCATTTACAAGAAGTAATTATCATATTACGATTTACAGTACTTTTAACAGTATTACGTAATAAATAACCCTTCACGGAGTTTATCGAAAGTTGTGCAGTTAAGGGACCGTTTCATTGGATTGATTTCGACATACATGAATTAAGGTTGTTTACGACTTTCGACTTATGTAAGGGTTACGTGAGAACTATCTGAAATCATTAATTACTATAAATTATTATCAATTCTGAATTATACTTCACTGCTCGGACGTAATCTGTACATTGCTATATTCAATCATACTAATATTGTAAATGCGAAAGTTTAAATGGATGGATGTTTGTTAGAGTTTGTAGCCAACACGGCAGAATGGTTTTCAATGAAATTTGGTATAGGTGTAGAGAATAGTCTGGAAGAACAAAAAGGCTATAACCTTTTTTTTTACGCAGACGAAGTCGCGGGCGACAGCTAGTTTATAATAATTGACGGACCGTTTTATCGCTGGTTAAAATATCTTATCTTTTACCTAACTGAAGAAAGTATATTACCGTGAGAGATGGTAACACAATAGGTATGCTTTAAATTTTTTTTTCCACTAATAAAATACTTTTTATCCCTCAAATTAAAAAAGAAGCGTGAGCGAAAGTGTTTTGTATCTTTATGTGTGAACGTTGGTAGTTAGAGTTAGTAACACGTACAAAATGCAATTAGAAATTAGAAGTGCTGCTGAGATTATGGTAATTATGAACCTGCAACACAGTATTAAACTTTAAAGACCGGACTTCCGATATTTATTGCTTGCACATTAGCCACAAGTAAGAACTAACATATCACCATCATCACCAGCTCACTATATGTCCCCACTGAGAGGATCGGATCCTACCCTAAGATAGGGTGACTAACATATATGGATTGCTTAATGCAGTCTTAGCTGAGCTGTAGGTCTCATTTTAGACTTTTTATTCTTTTCGGGCAGGAAAAGTATGGGAATTGGAAGGTGATTTGGAGAAGGCGGAGAAAATATCCTCTTTCTGTACGTTTTTTTATTTAAGTTAGACAACGCCTGTAAACAGCAATCCGTGTATAGCGAACGTCGCTTCGCCGACATGAACATGAAGCCATCGAAACCGTCTGCTTTGAAAAAGTTCGAGTATGTCGACCCTTCTTTGAATGACGTATTCTTAATACTCATTATTTACTCACCATGGTCATAATAACTCTAAAAATAAGTTCCTTAATATATGCCTTCTGACGTAATACAAGAAAATAATAATCTTGAAATAATACAATGAATAATGTTGCGGAATAAGAGCTTCCTTCTCGCGACCACCGGTGCACGGAGCGGCAAGATTTGTTTATGTTTTTTTATCAAAATAATATTGAGATTACATTGTATTTAATTAGTATGAAGTTTTAGAAACATTAATGAGGATTTTGCGAAATGGCAGCCATTGTTACTTTTTACATTTTTATTTTATACACGTTGAGCAACAAAATCTTTGCTTTAAATTAGTAGTAACACAAATGGGAGTACGCATCTGCTATACTTAATAATAGTGATGTGCTCTTAAAGTTATCGATATTTTAAATGTATTGTTTTGGTAACGCAGCGTCTGGGCTTGAAGTGTGTAGATGTCTGCAAATACCTCGTGTGTCCTAAACTTTGCTAAGTGTGCGCAGACTCGAAGAGCCTCACGGAACAATCGATACAAATTTTACTCCATAAATACGTATTTAGACCAATTTTAAATTATAAATAACTTGTCAATAAATCTTGTATTCTAGTCCTCCGAAAATACTTCACAACAGGAAGTTAACTTATAAAATGCATTATTGCGATGTCGACGAATTTAATTCAATAGCTAAGAAAATATTAAGAAGTCGAAGGGAAAAAAGACTTATTACAGCTTAAAATTAATGCTAAATTAACAGTACGTTTTGTACTTTATTAAATTTAAAGTTATAATGTGGAAATAATAATGAGCTGTTCGACATATTTACACATAGTGTGGTATGCGGAATTTAGAATAAATTAATTTATCATATTACGCTTTTTAATTTAAAGGGTACCGTGTGAAATGTTCTCAAACATACTCATGAGAAGTTGCGAGGCTTTCGCTTTTGTGGTGAATCGATTCACCTTCTCGATGCGATCTTTTATTCTTTTCTTTGTAGAAACAAAACGCATGTACTGGATATTGTTACTCGCTTACTTTCTCGGAAGGTGTAACTGGAGACGCTTGAATTATAACGTCTTTGTGAACTGTCTCACGTGTATGCATATAATACAACTGAATTTTTATACATTTATTTCGCATCAAGTGTTAATTTTGGGCACAGGGCGTGATTTCTACGGAGGGCGTTCTAGTTTTTACCATGACCACGGAGGTGGTGTGGTGTTAACAAGGTTATATGAGTAGATTGTGTAATTTTTAGACCTGTGGCACCCCTATTTGCGCCCTAGACGGTAAACCAACTGCTCTACTCTAATTCTATCATATCCTATAGCGATACATCATTTCAAAGTTCACTAAATATGTTGCCGTTGT